ATTTATTTGGTAATACGCATTTTGAATTGTTCATTGCCCTCATGCCTAGACTTTTATGACCAATGTTGTATGTAAATATCACGTTTCCCAGCATGCTCCTTGTCTCAAAATCAAGGTCATCGCAGTAGGGAGACCTGGGCCTTCTTACACTAACCCAGTGTTTCTCAACCTTAGCAACTTTAAGATGCGTGGACTTCAACTCCCACAATTCCCCAGCCAGCCATGCTGGCTGGGGGATTGTGGGGGTTGGAGTCCACGCATCTTCAAATTGCTAAGGTTGAGAAACACTGCTCTAAGCAGCGTTCCTGGCCTGATCCTGTAAAGCAGTTCTGCTGAGCCAAGCCCTCAAACTTTCTGATAAAGCCTGTCCCTTAGGCAGGGAGATCACCTTCCTTAACCAAGTTTATAAAATGAAGTTCAAAGCAGAAAGTTCTTCTGATTACAGCTTCTCACAATTTTTTATGGGAAGAATTTGGACACTGGGCTGTGTACTGGCCCTGTATATAAGCATTAGTTTTGTCTCTCACATACACACATATACACACACATATGTATTATCCTTTTTCCCCTTTCAGTCTTATTAAGTCTTTCACTAACAATAACAATTGTAGAACCAGTTTATTTTTTTTAATAATAACTGTATTAAATTTTTTTAAAGAACAGTAAAAACTAACTAAAGCTAATATTAAGGAAGAAAATAAGGGAAAAAAGGAATAAGAAAAAGAGCAAATAGTAAAAAGCAAAAGTGCAGAAAAGAAAAAAAATGGGGAAAAAACAACAAAAAATAATTGACTTCTGACCCACCCCGCAACAGTTATAAATAACAATCGTAGAACTGGTTTATTACTATCTCTCGGGCACAGATTTAGAATAATCTGATGTTTTAGAAAGCCCTCCAGCAGTGGGTTGGGGCCAGTGCTTACTCTACTCCAGCAGCATCGGACCCCCTGCAGCATTTGCCTTCCCGCTCCAGGCATCCTGGTCTGCAAAGCCTTTGCAGTAGCCACGCTCCACGTGGGCCTCAGTCCTCTGAGAAGTAGGTGAACCCTGGAGGAGCAGAGAGGCCAGCTTGGCTGCCAAGCTCAACAGCCCTGGTCTTCTCCATTCCTTGGGGGCAGTAACTATTCTGTATAGTTCTACTTATGGACGCCTTTCTCCTTTAAGATCTCCTGTTTCGCTCTTGCCACCCGAACAGGTAAAACTGAGCTGGCCAAGCAGACTGCCAAGTACCTGCACAAAGATGTCAAGAAGGTGAGATCTCTTATCATTATTAACCAACAGCCCAGATAGTTATGCTGTGCAGGCCTTGAATAGGAAGAGTCAAAAACATAAGCGTAGACGGGAGAGACCATTCTGGGCAGCAGACTTGCAGATAGGATCGGGGGCCGTGGAGGCTCAAGGGAGCTAGTGGTGCGACGCAGTTGCAAAAAAGCACATGCAGTCCTAGGCTGCATCAACAGCAGTGTGGAGTCAAGCTTAAGAGAAGTCATCATTCCTCTCGACTGCATTGGTCAGACTGCACCTAGGGCTCTGCATTTTAGGAAGAAAGTTGATGAACTGGAGTGGGCACACGCAGAAGATCAGCCAGAGCCTGGAAGGAAAAACCCTGTGAGGAATGGTTGGAAGTGTGAGTGTGTTTAAGCTAGAGAAGAGAAGATTGCAGGAAGACACAATGGCTGTCTTTAAGTCCCTGAAGGGCTGTCAGGTAGAAGATGGGACAGAAACTATTCAGAGTTGTTCCAGAAGCCAGGACAAGAAATAGGGGGATTAAATTAAAAAGAAATTGATTTCAGATCACCATTAGGAAGAATTTCCTCAAGGCTATTCAGCACTAGAACAAACCATCTCCAGAGATGGTGGAGTCTCCTTTACTGAAGATCATCAGACAGGCCAGTAGTCATGGATTCCCGCACTGTCTGGTGGCAGATGAGGTGATCTCTAAGGTATCCTCCACCTTGTATATTCTGTGATTCTAAGACCTGCTCACTTCCCACCACTGCCATTAGATGGCAGGTAGGGAAATGGTGAGTGCCTTGACTTTTTTAAAGAGCCAGGATCTGCACTCACACCCTTTATGGACCTTTTACCAGTTTAGGGTGCTGCACCAGTTATAGACCTGCTTAGATAGAGATAGCCTTGCAGTGATAATCTATGCTCTGCTAACCTCTGGCTTAAATTAATGCAACATGTTATATGAGGAGCTATCCTTGAAGATTTGGCATGTACTCCTGGAATCTAGGTAGGTGCCTCTGACCAAGGTGCCCCCATCTGGGTTTCAAGCGTCACATCAGTCCTGATTCTATTGCTAGGAGGAGATGGGTGGTACTTGTCTATTGGGGGACCTGAGCTTTGATGGTTACTTGAGGATTTGGTGTTTTTACCTACTGCCACACTGAAAACCCAATAATTCTGAGAAGGAAACGAGCTGAGCTTTTCATTCTAGTGCAGGCAAAAACCCAGGAAACCTACTGTTTGCAAGTGAACTAGAACTTTTCCCAGGAGTAATAACCTACACATCCCACAAAAGCATTATTTCACTTCCACAGACGTCTGCGGATTTAATTTAGCCCTTTGCTAGCTTGTATTTTATTCTGTTCATAATTTAAATTTTTGTTTGTAGAGGGATATTATATATTTCTTGGTATATTTGTAAGCATTCAAATAGTTTTAATACTCTGCTGTTCTATTTCACAAATTACTTTTAAATTTCCTATTTTTTTTTTCATCCCCAAAAAAGAAGGTAAACTTAATGATGTAGGGTTTATTTTATAGGGGTTTTAATGGATTGAGTATTAATTATTTATGGGGTATTTTAATTGTTTATAAGCTTTTGATTTTTGACTGTGAGCCGCCCAGAGTTGCCCATTGGGGAAGATGAGCAGCGTACAAATTTAATAAATAAATAAAGGCAACTCCTGGCAGGTGTTTGCAAGAAATGCAACTAACTTTCCACTTTCCGTGATAGAACTCAGCCTTTCACATCAGGTTTATTTAATATCCTGTCTGAATTTTGTACAAGTCAAGGTGGGATACATAATGCTCTCGCCTTCTGTTTTCCCCACAACAACAGCCTTGTGTGATGGGTTGGGTTGAGAGAGTGGGACTAGCTCCCAGAAAGTCACCCAGCCTGCCTCTACCTAAGGGAGGACTAAACTCATGGTTTCCCAGTTTGCAGTCCAGCACCTGAACCATTCCAGCAGACTGGGTTCATAAGGGCAATATCATTGAGTTGATTCTCTTCAGAGTAAACAGACAGGCACTCACTGGGTTTTACACTACAGGTAGTCCTCATTTAGCGACCACAGTTGGGACTGGCATCTCGGTCATTAAGCAAAGCTGTCGCTAAGTGAAACTGACTGTGCTTACAATCTTATTTCAGCTTTCCTTTGCTTTACAGACCTTCAGAGGTCATAAATGTGAGGATTGGTCACAAAGTTACTTTTTCATCTCTGTCATGACTACAAACAGTCGCTAAACAAGGACTACCTGTATCAAATGATTAGAAACTACTTGGTTGTAGGGCAAGCTCAGGACATTTTGGTACCTGAGCCAGCTCAGCTTCCCTTCATTTCAGTGGAGTTGGCTTAGCAGAACTTCAGGGGACTGAATCTTGTGAACTGTATTGGTTCCTATCCCCAATGGCCATTCTTAAGGCCAGTCTACATATTTAGTGTAGGCAGACATGAGTCATGGATCCCTCAAGGAGGCAGGCCTTGACTGCCCTTCTTGTTGATAGAGCCCCTGTTTAATCTTCAGAAGGGGTGAAATGGCACTCCAAACTATGTGTGGAGGCTGCTCCCCCACTTAAGAAATGGCAGGAGCACTTCCAACAACACTCTCTAATTCTCCTTGCTTCTTTCCCCTGCAGGGTTTCATCCGCTTGGACATGTCGGAGTTTCAGGAACGACACGAGGTGAGGAAGGGAGGTGCCATTTCTATCAGACCACGCCACCCAGGTGCCCTCTCAACCTGTTGCCACCTCTTGCAGAGACCCCAGATACCCCTCTCACCTTGACTGCCCCGGAGGTTGAACTCTCCCCAAGGGTTTGGCGTTGTTCTTCTAGGCCTCAGCGTAACAGGCCCTGCCTGAAAAGGGCTGCTATTTCTTGGTTCCCTCTTCCTATCATCCTATTGATTCTTAAGTGACAGCATGTCAGCCCTACCAGGTAGACCAGACCAAGAATCAACTCCACAGGAAGGCTAAGACTACTTTGATTGAAGTAGCTATAATAATAGGATCTTGCAAGTCTGATTGTGCTGGACCTCCTCCCCTTCTTATAGCCATGGGAATGAGGGAGGTGTCTGTCTGAGCCACTTCCATATACTTTCTGCTGGTTTTTGACTTAAGCCGTGTTTTCTCCTTGTTACTTTGGTAACAGAACTGGCCTATCTCTGTCAAGGTCATCTTCTTTACTCTCTATATCGAGGCTATCTGAGGATGGAGATCCAAAGTAGAAAGTCGAATTTTGAAAGAAAGGAAGAGCAAAGATGTGGCCCCTGAAAAGATAGGTGGGCCATGTGCCTGGTCAGGCTTTAGATAGTCAGATATGAAGCTGGGGTAAAAGAGCGCTTCCAGTATTCCTGGTGGCACTTCCCTTCCTTGGTCCCTGCCTCTCTCCAACTCTTGCCAGATTCAAAAAAGCCCGCGTATGGATTGAGAAGCAGAATACATTCCTCAGCACAGACTCCCAAAGTCAAATACCCAGAATGGGTATCATTGCTGGTGAGACTGGATTCTCTCTGTTCAAAATGCATCCAACTCCTCTTCGGGTTGTACCTCAGGAGCAGTGCCCTCTCTCGCATGGGGCAGCCTTGCTTTGAGCCCCAGCAGGCGGGTGATGTAACTCCAGCGGTCTCTTCCAGGTGGCCAAGTTTATTGGCTCTCCCCCAGGCTACATTGGCCACGAGGAAGGGGGACAGCTCACAAAGAAGCTGAAGCAGTGCCCCAACGCCGTGGTCCTCTTTGACGAAGTGGACAAGGCCCACCCAGACGTCCTGACCATCATGCTGCAGCTGTTTGATGAAGTAAGATCAGGCTCCTTGGGGTCGTTCTGGGTTCCAGGTCATTCATTCATTCATTCATTCATTCATTCATTCATTCATTCATTCATTCATTCATTCTTTGGCTGCCTGTCTCACTGCAGTGACTCTGGGTAATGTACAGAGTTAAAACCAACAAGCTTTTTATACAAATCTCCATCTGTGGGATTCAGCCCTACCTCCTCACTGACTTCAAAGGTGATTGGTTCAGGCTGGGTGTGGATGATCGCCTGCCATTCATTCACTGGACCTGCAGAGGAAGCACCGGGAATGCTCTTCCTGGCTTGGCCTCTGAAATCATTCCCACGCCTGATGCTTGTTTGGGTCCTCTTTTCCTGCACTAAGGGGTTCTGCATTGAACGTTCAGAGAGCTGGGCCCATAGACGCTTCCCATAGGCAGTCAGAAACCAGGGTTGTAGATCTTCTGACCCTGTGGGAGCCTCTCCATGTGGAATCACCCTTCTGACGTGATTGGTGGGCGAAGGCTGCCAGACATCTTCCTGCAGCCCCTCCACACCTGGAGGGGCAAGTTTCATGGCGATCTTCCTAGTGACACAGGTCCATCAGTCTGTCCATAGGGAATCTCTTGCCCACCTGCCTGCCTCTTTGAATGAGCTCCACTTGCCACGGTTGAGGTGGCAAAGGAATGGGTTGAACACCCCTGATGAGAACAAGCACACTTCTGCTGTCAGTCTGGTGCTGGGGCAAAGGAGTTCCGGGGGGGGGGTGGTCCTTAACTCAGGGCCATGTGACCTTTCTTAGGCAAAGAGGGGGGCCTTTGAGTGGCATACTGGGAGGCGTCACTCCCCCAAAACGGGGGGACCAGGATAAAAAAGCAGGGGGAGACAAGTCAGAAGCTACATTTGATTTGGTTGTTTAATTTAATTTAATTGGTTTAGTATTTAGTACTGTCTTTATATGGTCAGGTTAAAAATTACAATTCGGTGAGAACTTTGGGGTGGGCTCCAGGACCACAGCCTGGGGTGGCAGGTGGGATACCGTTGCCTTCCTTGTGGAAAATTGGGGGGGGGGGTCCCTGCAGGCACATCGGACTCCTGCCTGTTAACAGCAGCAACTCCTCTGGTTAAGCTCCCGAACTGAAGAATGGGGCAGAAAGCAGCAGATTTTTAATGACACAATGCTGAAAATGATTTCCTGATCTGGGCTCCGAGCTCCCGGGTGTCTCTTGCCCTGAATCCTCCTGTTGCCCTTGGTCTACAAACCGCGTGTCCAGTGCCCTCCCTGCTCCAGCCAAGCACTGAGGAGGCTGTGGGGAAATTTGCCTTTCATCAGGAGGAGGAGAGACACCGGGGTTATATTTTGCTCAGTCTCCGTGCTTGAGGGGGGATCCAAACGATGCCGCCTTCCGCGTGTCATCCACCCGTGTTTATTCCACCCTTCTTTCCCTAAATGTCCAGCTGGATGCAGGAGCAGAGTCCAGCTACGTGGCTCACGCACTCCCTGCAATTTACAGTGACTGCCTCCTTGGGCAGAGCCCTTTCGTGAGCCAGGAAAGGCAGCTCTTGAAGGCAGGCTCTGCCCGCTTTGCCTTCTCTGGTGCTGCTCTTGCTTGCCATGGGAGAATGTCTCAGCCCTCCTCCTCTGGTGCAGTAGAGCACCGTAGGCAGACCTGCCCTGCTTGTGAGCTTGAGCGCCCTCGTGCCCCACCTCGTTTTGCTGCCGAGGCTGCAGGTTTGCAGCCTGATCAGAAGGGGCCATGTGCCCAGCTGGGTCATTGGGTGTCAGGCGGCCTCTGCGCCCAGCTGGGTCAAGGGAGGCAGCCCCCCAGCCCTGAATCGACTGGCCTCCTTGGGGCCTCACCACCCTCTGCCTTGTCAACCTCAGTTTTTGCGTTTAGTTAGGAAAAATGGTTGCGTTCTTGGTGGTGCCTTTTCAGGGTTGTGGTTTTTTTCCTAAGGATTAATAACACTGGTATTTTTCTTGCATAGATCATGGTGGCAGCCGCTAAATGCGAAATCAATTCCTGAACTGCCGGTCTGACAGAGCAATAACCGAAATGTTAATCCCCAGCCCTGACACAAATGTGTGCCATTCGGCTGGACAGGACTGCTCCTGGCGACACTTAGAAAGAGTGGGGGAGCAGACCTCCTGCTTTGGTTTCCTCGCTCCTCTCCGTCCTCCTCCTCCCTTACAAACCATCCGTATTTTAAAAAGATTCTTAATTTAGCATTCTTGGAAGGAGAGGGGAGAACTGGGTGCCCACAGAGGGGCCAGGGGCTCTCCTGTCTTGCCCCAAGAGTCAGCGTCCATCTCCATTCTGGGTAGGGGGTCTTTCGATCCCAGGTCAGACCCTGCAGCCCAGAGTGTTACTGGAAGACCTTTAAACAGGCTTGTTTCATTTATGATGAGCAAAAATTCAATGCTGCCCCTATCCCCAGTGACGCAGGACAGCACAGAAGGCCATCTCAACGGTCTTCCAAGAAACACTTTGGTGTCACCAATGCAGCAAGCTCTGCTGTCATCAGCAAGATG